TAATAAAAGTTAATTATAAATATTTATGTTATTAAATTAATTTTACAGATAAGTGTTAAATTTAACTAACTTTAAAAATGTAAACTATATTTATAGATAAATCAATCATTATCATCAACAGTTGTGATCACACATACCACACCTTTAACTATATCTGTGGACAGACCTATCCGGCCGAGGGGTTTGTGAGACCTAATCTTGATATCTGGGGCTGAATGGAAAATATATTGATGTTTTATATAAAATGTTTTTAAAATATAAATGTTTTATTTAAAAATTTCATATACATTTCAATATTATATTTCATTTAATAAAATACAAAAATTTTAATTAAGGGATTGTTTCCAATAACTTATTTTATTTAATCAATGAAAATTTTTAATTTTATATATACAATATATATTTCAATAATAGTATTAGTATTCAGTATTTGAAAACATTTAATGAAAAGACTTTTTATCGGTGTTTGTATTGTTAATGCTCTCAATACTTAAGATATATATATTATTTGTTGTCAATTATAGACATCTCAAGTATTGTAGGCATTCATCCACTTCTTGTGCGATAGACTACTACCGGTGACCACACTATTGACCCCTAATATGAAAAACAGTGTTTAAATACTCCATATTAGGGGCCAATGTTGTGGGCACCGGCAGGTTATTAATAATAGATATTAATAGTGCTTCAGTTCAAGAACTTTTCCAATAAATATTTTCAATTAGTTAGCTCTTGATAAATATCCAGTTCATTTATTATAAAATATTCCAATTTCAAATTCAATTACTTCATGAGACATAATTAAAAATTATATGAATTTAATTTTAGAAATGTTTTGTATTTATAGTTCAAGTATTTTTAACGATAAATATGATATGTGTATCAATAAAATTATTATCTTTTTCTAATTAACCAAGCTATATTATTTAATAAGTTTTATTAATTGCAATTAAATCAAGCCTAATTAGTGTTACACGTGTTTCTATATCAGCTAATAGTGCAGGTTCAATTGTGAATTTAATATGAGGTAAGAATAAATTAGTTTAAAGTTTGTATCATTGATTATTGGTTCACATTTTTTAGTTCAGTTTTTAAAAACATAATTAAATTTGATTAGAAGATTGAGTATAAATATATGAAAAGGTTTGTTAAATATTAATGAGAAATAATTTATTATAAATCAATAAACTATTAATAAAAATGTTTGCCATATATTTGTTGGCATTAATTGCGTTCATAAATGCAAATGAATTTGAATTGTTTGAAAACAATGATATCTACGACGAGGTGAGGGATTCACGCAATTTGACGGGAAAAGTAGTTTTGGTGACCGGAAGTAGTTCTGGAATCGGAGAACAAATCGTTAAACTATTCTCAGCATTGGGTGCCAGTGTTGTGGTCACCGGTATTAACGACACTGATATTCAACGTGTGGTTCAGGAAACCCAAGAGTTATCTCCTCATAAACTCAAAGTAACCTACATTTTGAACACAAATACAATACAAATACAAAGACTTCTAATCCAATAGCCATTGGGAGTGACGGCAGACTTGACTAAAATGGCGGAATTGGATCACCTCTTGGACGAGACCATCAAAACGTTTGGCAAATTGGATGTATTGGTGAACAACGCGGGTCTCTATCTGTTGGCCTCAATCGCCGACAAAAGGTTTTTAGATATTTTCGATGAGTTCGAGAAAGTGGACACTCGGGCCGCCCTACAGCTCATTCAAAACGCCATTCCCTACTTAGGCCGCACTAACGGCACCATTATTAACGTGTCCAGCGTTTTGACCGAACGTCCGGTTAGGCCATCGAAAACAAATAGTTTAATGTTTTGCTTATGAAAAGTGTATGAATTTGCAGCAAAAATCGATGTTAGCCTACGAGATGGCTAAACAGGCCCTGGAGTTGTCCACCGAAATACTATCGCTAGAGTTGGCCCCACAGGGTATCAGAGCTAATACGATAAGGTAAGGGTTGGCATACTTTTTATGAGTTATTTGTAATTGTCTGTTAACCGGGTGTGCAGTCAGGGAGCCGTTCAGTCCCACCCACTCAACCAAACCGATCCGATAGCTGTCGCCCGATATAATAACTCCGTAAGTCATACACCGTTAGCCAGAATAGGAGTTCCTATAGATATAGCCAAAGGTGTGGTATTTCTGGCCTCAAGTGATGCCGACTTTATTACCGGTCATAATCTGGTGGTCGACGGAGGGATCAGATATAATATGGACTCAAGTTTTATGACTGTTTTGTAATTTATAATTAGTTATTATAAACATCCAGTTCCAGTGGACACCAAATGATTAATGTTTTCAAATAAAATAAAAACATCAAAATTAAAGAAATATCAAATAAATTAGTATTTTACATAAATATTTCTAAAAAAATTATGACAAAATTTAGGCATATTAATTTAGGTTAAGGTATGAATTTCAAAATGATTGTACAGAATAAGTTTATTTATAATTTTCATTAAATCATTAAAATATTTTTAACATGCGATATTGTATTGCAAAATTTTGTAAGTTACAATTTGTAATTAACGATAAACAGTATAATTGTATTCAAGACTTGGGTTTTATTTACAAAAACTATAATTTTTTGTCACATTCATCACTAAATTAGAAACTAATGGTCAGCTATTTTTGAATTAAAAGTTTTCATTGAAAACCGAAAACTAAACTTTTTAAAGCTAAGCTTTTTAACCGTTTTGTCTCGCGAAACAATTAGCCCCTTTTTGGTTTATTATTATTTGGATTACAATTTAAATTCAAAAACATTAAATTAACGGACAATTATAATTACCGATAAAATATTGTAAAACCAAATATCGACCTATTTTTACTGTTAAAGTAGACAAACCCATCAGTAATCGCCACTTCAAGACTTTATCATACAATCAATTCCTGTCGTTATGATTGCATTCAATATATTTATTGTCTCACTATTGGTCTCAATAGACATCATAAGCGCAAAGAATACCTATAAATGTAATCCAAAAAATGACAAAATAGTGTCAAATGTCATCAAATGCTCGATAGAGAGGTGGACTTACCTGAAGGAAACTGTGCAGGGTGTTTCAGCCCAATGGATCAGATGTTGTATGAGTTCTGAATTGGTGTGCCTTAAGAATGCTGTGGTAAGTGATGACCAAAACTAAGATTTAT